AGAGAGAGAGAGAGGGGGAAGATACTGGGGGAGATACTGAGAGCATCATCGATGGCCCAGTCACAGGGTGAGTAACACTGAGCATCGACATTAGAAGCTAAGTAGCCTCCAGTAAAATCATACGGCCGTTTAAAGTAGATCCATCAGGACATCATCTGAAGAGCCGCCGACAGAGAGAGAGAGACATAGAGATACATAGAGAGAGAGAGGGAGAGAGAGGCTGCATCATGACTGCAATGGAGGAGCAGACAGGCACTGGGCTGGATGACTGAGTAACACTAGCCGCCTCTTGAGGAATAACCCCGGTTCTGACTGTAATAGCGAGTGAGTTTGCTGTTCGGTGTCACTTTCATGCAGAGAAATAACGAGAGGTGTATAACTGTCTGTGTTTGATGTTCCGACGGTAATAGACGAGTTGTGATTGATTTTTTTTTTCTTCCGCCGAAGATCACAAGGTTGCAAAATGCAGTCGCTGCTGCATCAGTCTGTGAGCTCCCTCTGGTTACCACAGCTTCAGCCCAAGCTGATCGATCACCGATAATCAGGCCTCAAACCTTTTTTTAATACAAGTTACGTTGAGGCTCCTGACACAAGAAGAAGCTGCTGGGAGATGATAGCTAACACATCATAAACAAACGGACCACCTCTTAACAAGTGGACGACTGTTCATGTAAAAATACTGTAAATCTGCTTTAATTAAATCATCCCTTAATGAGAAGAGGATAAAGAAAATAAATGACCAAAGCTGTTGTTTCTGCACTCGACGGAGCAGTCGTCTCCTAACAACCAGAGGGGGCGCCACACCGCACATTCAACTAGTCCGCTAACTAGCATATTGTAAAAGTTAACTTAGGCGCTTCACTGCTAACATGTGTGAGTGTTTTATTTGAACCCGCACAGACTGGAGCCCCCCCAGAAAACCCACATTATAAGTAAAAAAAAAGTAAGATGGCGTCAGAAACATCCGGGTCGCGGTTGAAGAAGTGGGGGGGCAGAAGAAGTCTTTATCAAACGGAGCTCAGACCTCACTGTGGGAGCTCCTTTCAGGCTGGAGCTCCTTAGCTGTTGTTGCTATGCTACCACGACCACCACGGCGCGTGCGGCCAAGTAACTAGTAACTAAGTAACTGTTGCTAAGTGTGAAACCTCCCCAGTACAGCAGCCCCCCCACCACCAGCACCCAGTCACACACCAGTAAGGCGACTGGGCAGCAGTGTGGAGGAGAGGAAGAGCAGCTCTCATCAGCATCCACCTGGCACTGGGTCAGTCTTTATGTATGTAGGCCAGTATCTCAATATCACAGGGGGGTTCACAGGCTGTACAGCATATGACATCCACTGTCAGTTCAGATAAGGAAAAACTACCCCCCCCTAAAAAAAGGCTTTTAAAGGGTCCAGTGTGTAACATTTAGGAAGATCTGTTGTAAGTAATTGGATATAATATTCATACAGGTATGTTTTCATTATGTATAATCACCTGAAAATAACAATGCTTGTGTTTTTGTTACCTTAATGTGTGTCAAGTTGTACCGCCATGTTTCTACAGTATGGACAAACCAAACACTGGCTGTAGATAGGGTCATTTCACGCTTTTCTTTTTTTTTGTTTCACAGCCACCGTAGTACACACTCACAGCCTGCTGTCATTCCCATGTTGTTAAAGACAGACACGAGTGCTGTTCACCGCTAGATGCCACTAAATCCTTCAGCGGTCCTTTAATGGAATAAAACGTAAGAGCAACAGAAGACATGCAGTAGATGTGTAATAGACCAACACAAAATTATAGCTAGACTGTATGAAGAATGTGGATCCAGGTGATAGTACAAGAGCTACACAACCTCCTCTCCACCATGGAGACCTGGATACATAGGGACAGACTACACTTCACACAGGCAGGAGAGAGAGACAAAGACAACATGCACACAAGGGAGAGAGAGAGAGAGAGAGAGAGAAGACAAGAGGCTGAATGTCCTAGAGGACGTACTAGTAGGTAGCAGTAATCAAGGCATTAGCAATTGACTGAAAGTTAAGGCGTAAAGATGAGTTATACGTTTGGATTTTAAAGGATTCAGAGTCAGACTGATGTCAGCAGGGAGTTTATTTCAGGGGAAAGGGGGGAAGATAGGAAAAAGCCCTGCAGCACTGCTGACTTCTCTTTGATGCTGGGGACAGACAGGAGCCCTGTATTCTGAGAGCAGATGACTGTTCATCATGCTTCATGCAAAAAATAAATCAATTTGTCTTAAATAAAACATTTTTTTTTTCATATGAAAAGGATAAAGGAAAAGTGCCCAAGCTGAAACTGGTGTAATATAGTCAGACTTTCTAGTTTAGTAGTTTAGCTGCAGCATCCTGAACTTTCTTTTAGAAATGTTGCAATAATCGAGTCTGGGTGAGAATAGACAGCATTTTAGCTGTGTTGCACAGATGAAAACAGGCGGTCTTGGAGATTTATGTGCTGATCAAAAGAGAGAGTAGGACCAAATGTGACACCAAGATTCTTGGCTGTCACACTTTGTGCTTTCAAAATGTGACTTTTCCATTCATGTCTGGTTTTTGTAAGATGCACCGGGGACCTGACAGTGTTGTTGTTATTCCTCGGTGCACATTTAATTTGGCTCACATTCCTCCCAGTGGTTGTGTAAAGGTTTAGTAACAATAAGTGAATAATGGTAAAGCTCCAGTTGCAACTGTGGCACTGCTCTCTGTAAGAGTTAATAAACAGAATAATCTGACATCTTAATAGAACAGATTTTGAAGGATTTCATCATATTGGATAGTAAAGAATTATATTTTCAGATAGCATTCAGTATTACACCTATACCTCTTGAATTGTCTACTGTTCATTGCATTTGACTGCAACACTGCAAAACAACACAATGAGATTCTATTGATATATGGTAATCATAAATATCAATAGTCATGTCATTCTACATGCTGCACAATAATATGGGCATATGGCTCGGCACAACAGAAAAACATCTATGTAACATAGCTATAACACTGTTTAACATCTTAAGCCAAATACCAGAAGATGTGGGAAACATTCTGTTTTTTTGTACAAGAACAAACTTTTTCAGCGGAGCGGGCTCAGAGATCACACATTATGCGATGTGATTGACAGTCCGCTTAAAGATGCGGAGGCGGCGCGGTCTCTCCGTCAGATGGCTGGTGAATCTGAATTTGGTTGGCAGTTTTCACTCTGTATCATTTGCAGAAAATATATGTATATAGATATATATCTATATAATTTGAAACATATTATGTGAGGATTGGATGCAGCGACCCTGTGGTTCAAAGTTGTGGAGATGAAAAGATTCAGCCTTGCTTATTATTCATACTACCACAGCTTAAATTTTTATTGCAGCTTTGAGATGTTTTTTTTATTATGAGGAGTCTGTTATCTCAAAAACTTGTGTTTGAGAGCAGAATATCTTTTATTTCATGAGTGATCAAAGGACGACGGTGTCAGGAAACAGAGCCCTTGTTGATGTTAACTGACAGGCAAACATATTTATAGAATCAGACAAACATTCAAGCTCCTCAGAAAGACTGTGCTGCAGTGCTACACAGTACACGGTAACAGTGGTAAATCTCTAGGGAAGACCGTCGTTGACTCAGGCTGGTTCAGGCTGGTTTGGTTACAGTTTGGAAATGATGAAGATGTCTTTTTATATGAGCACCTGTAAGCCGTAACAGTGTTTTGTATCCTGAAAGCGCCTTGAATGCGAAGAGCCGTTTGGAAAACAGCAGTGTCTTTTTCTTTTTTACAACCTTTTTCCAATCAGCTGTCAGCTGTCTCAGTCCGTTAGACAGCTTTTAATGCTCGCTTCATGTCAGAGCGGAGAGAGACCTCTTCCTGTTGCCAAAGACCAGGTCCCTGCTGTTGCTCCTCTTGTATTTTAGTGCAAATATTAAGTAAAATAAGCGTCAGTGGACAAATAAAATGCAGTTAAGGTGAGGTAATGTGGCTAATAAGCAGGAAATGTTTATGGCTAAATAATAGTGTGCCTTTACAATGATGTGAATTAAACAGCTGTAACAAATGAATTAGTATAAACATGTGATCTACATTAGAGATAGCAGTAAATGTGCTGTGTGAACAGATGGTGAGACAGTTATATGTTATATTCCATTTTGTTTTAATTTTTAACTATCCCTGCAGTTTTTGGGGCTTGCAATTCATTAATTTATGAATTCATTTATTTATTTCTCAAATGCCAAATATGAAGAGAGTCTGGTACATTTCTGGACTCTATTTTTCAAGTATGGTGATTATAAATAGTGGTTATTATTAAAGTTTGGAGGAAATTTGGAGGAAGAGCGTTATAATTTTTACAGTGGAAAAATTAACTTGTTAGTTCTCTTTGTGTATATGAAGACAAATGGGTTTCTAAATGACCTCAAACATGTCTTTGACATTTCAGTGCTGCAATTTTTTGTTATCAGCCAACAAATACGACATATCTGTGATGAGCGAAAATCAGAAAATAATATCAACCATGCCGATGTAGAGGTCAGTCTCTGTTTCACAGTTATTTAATGACAGAACCTGAGTTGTGTCTTTATATTTCTCCACACCAGAAACACAGTTTGACTTCTTCAAGCTGTACATGACACATAAAAGTTGGGGAAGAAGAACAAATGGGGACTTAAGACATCTGGCCTATTGATTAATTGATTGGCAATAATAATAACAAGGGCTACAAAGCACAGCAAACCCAGAGCCCGTAGGCAGAAGATCTGTGTGTATGAATGTGTGTGTGTAAGGGGGGGTGGTGGTTTTGTACAACAGTCATGCTTATTGATCCGTTCACTGACAGATTCAGTTCAGAGGAGAGAAAATGCGTGGATGGAGCAAAACTGGAGCTTCTGGGCTTTAAGGAAAAGAAGGTTTTGCAGTGACATGACGGCTGTGTGGGTTTCTGTGTTCACAGAGGAGCTGACACAGGGTTTTTTACAGCAGAGCTGTGAGAGTGATTGACCCCCTCAACACTTCTCCATTAGGTGATGTATAACCTCATATTATTCTCAAGTTAATCAATCATCAGAAACTCACAAATGTTTTTATTCAGCTCCAAACATTTTGACATACTGTAGGAGTGCAGCATAATAAAATAATACTTGTATTACATTCTGAATGTGTTAGTTATTAATCAAGTTTCATTATTTAACATTAATCATTTTAATGTTCTTTATCTTCTTTATCTTTAGTCTCATTTAATGTAATTCCTAGTTCAAATGAAGCAACAAGTGTTTTAACGACTGGTCACTGCTGTTATCAACCCAGATACTGTCCAACGGATAAAGCTGTACTAGAGATAAAACTCATTTATTTTTCCTTTTGCAGGGTGCTACGATACGACAGCCATGCCACCCCCAGCTGACATTGTGAAGGTGGCCATTGAATGGCCTGGTGCCAATGCTCAGCTTATAGAAATGGACCAGGTCTGTATTTGCATAAAAACCGGGCAATGAATGCATCTCCAGTTTGCCTTTAATAACTCAACCTTTAGAGAGTGATTTGATGGTAGAAAGGGGGAATTATGCACAGCCGTAATTTGTTCTGAATGTGAAAGGCATGAGTAATGCAGAGATGTGCTTTAGTTATGTAGAATACAAGTAGCTTAATGCTTGTCATAATAAATAACTCTTCATGAGTAACAGATTTAAGAAGTGTAATTTAGCTTTTTTTAAAGTATATGCACTTGTCACAAGCTGTCAATGTTCACATAAAACAACATGGCAGTTTGAGTAGGGATGATTTATGTTTAATTTTAGCTTGTTAATGTAATTTTTTATGTTTGCAATGTTTTTTTCTCTTTGCAGAAAAGACCTTTGTCCTCAATAATACGGGAAGTATGTGATGGGTAAGCATCTCTCCTGCATGTTTTGATATTTTCCTGATCATTTTTATTGATTCTGACTTTCTATAACATTACCAAATTATTGAATATTGGCACATGTGTTATGTGTGTTATGGTCTTTGGTCTTCCTCTCTATTACCTAAAGGATATAAGGGATTTTATTTAGGTGAGGTGTAGGAATGAGGTAAAATTGCAATCGGTTTGGTCATTGTGCTGGTTTGGATGGACAGATTAGTGAAGTCACATATTAGGATATCATTATTTAAAAGTTAAAGTTAAAGGTACTGTAAACAAACAACACTACAATTGAAATGAATGGTAGTGATATATATTACAGTTTGGAGAATCAAAGGTTTGTATTTGGTTTCACTGCAAATGATGCACAGTGATGGAGGTGATTTATAGTGTATACACTCTTAAAGTCTTTTGTCAATAACAACAACCTCTTGAATTTGTTTATTTCTGACAAAGGCTAACCTCTAGAGGAGGCTGTGGCTGTGCCCCACTTCTACTTATGTTTTAACTCTGACTCAGAGTAGGATGAGTGTTCTTATGTTTATGTAAAAGTGTGTGCTTCTTAAATCTGTCTTATATTAAAATGTTTGCTGGTCTGTGAGTCTGATAGAAAATAAATGAGAAAATGGAAGCTGATGCCCAGTCCTTTCAGTGTTGGTGCGATTGTGTAGACACCAGTTGTATCACAGCACTCAAGTGGGCACACACACACACACACTGACAGATCAGACTCTTGATACCTTACATAACCATTACCACTCATTATTTTTTCTTTTACCTGCTGTCATTTCTTCTCGTGTCTTAATCTGTGATTTTGGGCTTCAATGTCATCTCCGTGTTTTTAACCTGCTCTTTTGTCTTGTACTTTAGGGGTGAATATTTCAAATTTTATCTCACCCATCCACCTTGTGGCTGTATCTCCCCGCTGCCTCCCTTTTGTATTTGAAACTGCACTTTACTGTGAACACCCACTGAGTAATTCTCCTCCACAGTCTCACAGTTTTGCCACTCCTGTAAATACAACGGCTGGAGGGAGCAATTTGATTTTCAACAACATTTTGTTATTGTATACTAGAGAATGCTACATTAAAACATTCAACAAGTTTACTTTATGTCCCACTGCTTCGTTAGTAGGTACCTAACACTCATAGTGAATTTTTACTTTTTCTCTCTGTCCTCAGCTGGTCTTTGTCAGGCTCAGAGCAGTTTGCTTTGCGTTATGCTGATGGCCCTCAGCTTTATATCACAGAGCAGGTGAGCTTCACTCTTTTCTTCCATAACATGTGTTGATGGCATTGTATATTGGTGTTAAATGTGTAAAAACGTTCTTCCTTTATTATCCTTCAGAGCCGAGGTGAAATCAAGAACGGGACTATTCTTCGATTAGCCATTTCACCTGTGAGTCCACTTTGTTTATTCCTTTTCAGTCGTGTCTTTTTTTATTTTGTGTAACTGGTGTGTATTTCAGCTCTTCTCTAAATTTTCTAATACTAAAGGTCTTAACACATGAACATCACCAGGCTTTTGTGCAGACCCTTGTGGACACTTTTAAAAAAGGGCTTAAAACGTTTTTTTTCAGGCTGGCGTTCTTAAGTTGTCCTTAGATTTTTCTAATCGCACTCTGCACTTCAATTCCTCTTTTAGCTGTTTTTCTTAATGTATTTTATCACTTGTATTCTTATTTTGTTACTGATTTTAATGTGTTATT